CACTCTTCCTTCTCTCATACAAATAGTCTGTCTTAAGTTACTGCTGTTACAGCATGTCCTTAGATACAGTGATGGTTCATGTTTATATCCAGTACAGTCAGCCATACAATAAGATCCTTCTCCTTCATCAAAAATGGTAACTATTAAACACAGCAACAACAACAACATAAAGATGAACATCTTTGACATTCTACTAGGCTGTACTTTAGTTGGACAAGGACTGGAATTCAAGTCATGTATTGAATGAGCAGTTACTCTGAGGGAAATTTACAGTTTACCTACTTAATCTTTTGTGACTATCAGTATCACTAATGTTAATGTTACCTTACAGCCAGAACATTTGGCAGATTGGTGGTCCAAAATAAAAATCATCAATATTATGAACATCATTAATAATTGTAATGATGGGTGGATTCCGTCATGTGCACATGATACTAAAAATGCCAAAATTAATGTATTTTTACTATGCTGTGTGTGGGCAAGGACTCCCAAGGAGCAGCTTCAAGAAGAACTGAGAGTGCTTAAAGAAAAGACAAGATAGTAAATTGCCAAATTAAGAGACCGCCGATAATCTTTAGGTTATTTTGACGCAAAACTACCAAATTTTCTAGCAATACAGTATTATGCATGTAGTTACTAGTAACACATTACTCTTAGGACTCATTGACAAGAGGGTATGGGTATTGAAAGAGGCTGTATACCTCTCCTGACACAATCACAACATAATGTAATACACTGATAGGGTACTTTGACAAGAGACTATGGGTACATCTGTATTGGACAATCCTAAAACATACTTGTACCCTGGAAAATTTAACGGTTTGACAAATCAAGTTTTTAATTTTTTAACAGTTGTAAGCTATATTTGTTAGTCTAATAATGTTGTAGACTAAATTCCAGTCTTTAGTTCTGAACCATTATGTACATTCTCAATGACATTATATAGTTTCTGTTACCCACACATGCCTACATCACTGCTCACTATAGCAGTTATTCATTAATTGATAAAGTTATTATTTAATAGTCAAAAATTATCAACAATCACTTCAAGGTATGACAGACTGTAATATTGAAATGACTTAATGATATATCAGCACATTATAAACACACTTATGTGTGTGGGGGGGACAGTATTTAATTGTTACGACGAGTTTTCATCTCTGAGAACTTGAGACTAATTCTTGCACCTTTCCAATGGTACCAATTAATTGATTGATGATTATTAGTTGCAGTATTAAAATAACGACCATTGAGATTTGAATGATAGCAGCTATAATACCACCAGGCACCAGTGTAGGTCTGAGCACAGTTACCACTATTACTATCATTATCATTATCTCTTGTAGTGAATCTCCTTCCATTATGATAGGCCAGACTATCCCCAGCAGTACCAAAGTATCCTCCTACTGTTAGTATTATATATTCAGTACTACCATCACTAACACTGAATGTAGAGTAGTTAGCATAAGCTGTGTTCCCCTCAAAGTCTCCCAGGTCCACTCTTAGTGTGTTTGATCCTTCTTTAGTAAGACAATGAATCTTGCTCAATCCTAACCAAAACTCACCAGTAAGGTCACCAAATCCATTCTCATAGTCAGTCCAATTCCTATAGAAATCAACAGATCCGTCTTGTCTCCTCTGAAGTACAGTCCATCCACCACCATCAGTCTCCATATCACAGTATATACCTGTGATCCAATAGTGTATAATTATAAATTACTTTTGACTAACTTCAAATGGAGTCCCTCCATCAGGATTAACAGTATAAACACCACTTGTACTAATACCATCCTCAAACAAGCTCTTTGCCTATATTGCAAGAATTAAACACTTGTACTATTATTGCAGTACCTTTTTGACAAGACTTTGGGTATACATTAGGACAGAAAATGTATTGTTTTATACCAGTTTCTTTGATAGAAAAAGCCTGTCCTAAGTTACTAATGATGCAGCACGTCCTTAGATACAGTCATGGTTCATATTTATATCTA